GGATGAGTGGCTTTACCCTTAGAGATAGGATACGAAATGAGCTTATACGTGAAAAGGTTGGAGTAGCTCCAGTAGAAGATAAGATTAAAGAGAGTCGCCTTAGATGTTTTGGTCACATAAAACATCGGCCTTGTGATGACCCGGTTAGGAGAGTAGAGGTATTAGATTTGACTTGTGTTAAGAAAGGTAGGGGTAGACCTAAAAAGACTTGGTTAGAAAATATTAGGAATGACCTTTCTTTATTAGATTTAAACGAGAATTTGGCTTTTAATAGGACGCAATGGAGAAAAAGGATTCATGTAGCCGACCCCACGTAGTGGGATAAAGGCTTGATGTTGTTGTTGTTGTCAAATATGTCGTCTTCGAAAGATGACACTTCAGTCATTTGTCATATATAGAAATGTGAAAATGCTTAGGAGATCAAGAAATTTTTTGGCTTACTAAACTTCTTAATATTATTTTGAAGACTAAAAAGATGTCAGATGAGTATTGGCTCTTACTTTTAAGAATAAAAATGATGCACAAGAGTGTGTGAATTATGATAGAATTAAATTAAAGTATCATACATTAAAACTATACAACACCGGTTGCCTGAGAATTATCAGGCCATCCTTGATGTTCACCATTGAAAAATGATTATGAGAAACCTAGGTAGTAGAAGATCAGTCAGTCGTTGGCAATCACATTATCGAGGAAAACAAAATACAACTAACTAACAAGCAAGCTTCGAATTTTTAATATAACTATCAGCCATTAATTGTAGAAATATACCTCACCATTCAGATATTGCTTCTCATTTCAAATTTAATTCCCACGCACACATGAACAGATTTTGGCATAAAACAACAAGAAATTTTTTGGCTTATTAAACTTCTTAATATTATTTTGAGGGCTAAAGGATGCCAGATGAGTGGAGGAGCATTGATTTTTACTTTTAAGAATAAAAATGATACACACGAGTGTGTGAATAATAAAAGAATTAAGTTAATGTATCATACATTAAAATTATGCAACATCGGTTGTCCCAATAATTTTCAAGCCATCCTTGATGTTCACCATTGAAAAAATGAGTACAAAAAAATTGGGTAGCGGAAGATCAGTCACTTGTTGGCAATCACCAACCCAATTCTTTCAAGAGATTCAAGAGAAATAATGATGATTACATTACTGAGGAAAACATGCAAGCTTTGAGTTTTGAATATAACTATCAGTCATTAATTGTATAAATATATTGTCAAATATCGTCTCAGCCATCCCAGGCATCCCTTTCCTTTTAATAATCCCATGGCTAGCATGAAGATCCACATAAGGCTCACCTGGATCACACCAATCTCCATCCATGTTTTGGTGGCTGATTTAGGAAGAATTCTAAACGAAAATAAAGATGTTTATTTTTATCAACATATTAGTAAAATTAAAGTTAGAGAGGCTTTAAAAAAAAGAAGTGTGCAAAAGCTATCAAACTTGATGATATCCCAATAGAGGTGTGAAAATGCTTACGAGAAAAAGGAATTTTTACGCATACTAAACTTCTTAGTATTATTTTGAAGACTAAAAAAATGACAAATGATGGGAGAATGAGTGTGTTCATTCATATTTTTAAGAATAAAAGTGATGCAAAAGATTGTGCGAATTATAGAGGAATTAAGTTAATGTGTTATACTTTAAAAACTATGGAAAAGAGTTCTGGAACGTGATACTAACGTTTCTAAAAATCAATTTGGATTCAGGCCATGTAGGTTGACAAATGCATTAGGGGTCTTCTGATATTGTATTAAACATAGAACTTGAGAACTATCATAAACTACTTCCCGGAGGCATGAATTGAATTTATAGAATACCTTCATAGAAATTGCAATGAAAACATTAGGATCCAACAACAGTTCCTTTGTTACCAACAAAAATAAGTATCACAACCAGGCTATGTCCAAGACATATCATCTCTCTTAATCTCCCTCATAATGTCAAATATATGATAATTTGTCCTCTACCTCTTTTCCTCCCTCTAAACTTTTTTGGGTCGTCGATGAGAGTTTTTAACTTTTAAGTCACGAGGAAAATTTTCATAAAGCAAATTGGGTTTAAATAAAATACTACCTAGAGATTTCGCCCTCATTTTACGAGGACCATATGATTAAAGTTTAGGTTTCCTATAGGTGTGAATCCCTATAGTTAATTAATGCTAGCAGCATGACCTGGAATAAAGTTAAAAGTTGCAAAGATGTAGAAAGATGTAGAAGTATAAGATCCAACCTATGCTAAAAGAGAGAAAGAAAGTGAGGAAGCGTGTTACTGTCAACAAATGCAATAGGCATCTTCTGACATTGCATTAAACATAGAACTTCAAAACTATCACAGACTACTTCCCACCGATAAGAATTGCAGTTTTAGAATACCTTCATAGAAATTATAAAGAAAACAAGAGGATCAACAATTGCTTGATACCAACAAAAATAAGAATCACAATCAGGTCATGTGAAATACACTATATCTCTCTTAATCCCACTATAAATTTCAAATATATGCTAATTTGCCTTCTCTATACCTCTTTCACTCCCACCCATCTCTAAATGCTGCCATATTTTTCCCTTACGCAGCTCCAATCAATACAAGAGAAGAGATAGGATATGCATTAACTTCAACCGATTAGCAAGCTTTATAAGCAGACATAATAATACATGATTCATGACATTTTAACTTTTCCATCTCTCAAAGTTCTAACTGCATTGCTCTCCCAAGGCGGTTCTGCTTTAAGGTCAGCGTAGGCTAAAATTCTAAATCATCACCATTATTTCCCTCACAACTCACTCATAGAATGGATAATCACAGCAAACTAAACATGATAAGTCTTCCATCTGTAAAAGAAAAATATAATCCCCCATCCGTGCAATATAAATTTTTCATTCATATGGGCGTATTGTGACAATTTTCCAAAATGAGAAATAGAATGGAGATAGAGGCTATTTAATTTCTAAGGTAATGCATAAGGAAAGGAAGTGCACATGGATTGCATGTAAGATATGCTGAGCATTTATATATATATATATATATATATATATATAATTTATTTATTTATGCATATAACCTCAAATCACCATAGAAACTGCATCCTGCTTCAGGGAAGGAGAAAGAGTACAATATGATTATTGAATTCCCACACTAACAAATAAATAATCAGCTTCCTAAAAGCCCTCCAAACTCAAGCATAAATAGGAATAATCATAACATCGGTTGCCTGAAAATTTTCAAGCCATCCTTGATGTTCGCCATTGCAAAATGAGTAGAAGTAAACTTGAATTGTAGAAGATCAGTTCCGGTTCCGTATCGGAGGCGTATGCGCGTAACAGTGTATCGAATACAACATGCCTTCATAAATAGGTGTATCGATGCAACATAGACCGTACTTCACAGAAAGAAAGAGAGAGGGCAACATGACTAATGGGGGGGGGGCGGGGGGTGTTACAATCAAAAAATGCATTAGGGTCTTCTAACACTGCACTAAACATAGAACTTGAGAACTATCACAATCTACTTCCCTCTCATATGAGTTGAATTTATAGAATACCATCATAGAAATTGCAGCGAAAACATTAGGATCCAACAACAGTTCCTTGTTACCAGCAAAAACATAAATCCTTGTTCTCAACTATAAAACTCTCCAGGGCATTTCTTTTGGAACTTTACCATATATGCCTTCTCTAAATCAATAAATATAATATGCAGATTCTCGATACTCTCCCTATACTTCTCCATCAAACCTCTCAAATATACATAGAAAATTAAAAAAAGACTCAACAAGTTACCATGGTTACTACACCGTGCTCTATGTTGCAACGATACAGATATAGCGACATGGATATAACACGATACAAATACAGCGACATGGATATGACACGATACAGACACGGGACATGTCAATTCTTACTGGTACGGTGCAGATACAGCATAATAATTTATAAATCATATATAAAAATTAAGAAAGCAATCAAAGCATAATATTTGAAATTAGAAAAAAAAAAGTAATATCATTTGTAGCCTTATAGCTTATAATATCAAAAAAAAAGTAAGCATTAAATGTCTAGTACAACAACAAAAGTATAAACATAAATTGTCTAGCACATGAAATTTCAACTATTCAATAGAAAGAATTATATGATTAGCTTCTTCAGTGGTTTGTCTTTGAATTTCTACATCATCTTAAATAAATACCATAGCATTTAATTTAGGCTCATCAAGTGAAAAATTAGCAATTTCTAATATTCTCATATCATCAAGAGACTCAAATTCATCTCGGAACTGAGAAAACCTGACTCAGCCGCGAAAGTAAATACGAGTTTTTTTTTTTCAACGAACACGTTTATCGAATATGCACGTCTTTTTGAAATTAAATAGTATTTTAATTGGATACGACAAAGCCGTATCCAACATGTATCGGTGCCGTATCGGAGGCGTATCCGCATAATGGTGTATCGAATACAACATGCCTTCATAAATAGGTGTATCGATGCAACATAGACCGTACTTCACAAAAAGAAAGAGAGAGAGGGCAATATGACTAATAAATTCCAATAGAAAATAAATAAACGGCTTTCTAAAAGTCCCCTCACCTTAAGAATAAATATGGAAAATCATAACACTAGTTGCCTGAGATATTTTAGGCCATCCTCGATGTTCGCCAATGCAAAATGAGTATGCAAAAGTTTATTTACAAAAGATTAGTCACTTGTTGCACCTACGAGAAAAATTCTTCCAAGAGAAATCTCAATGATTACATAACTGAGGAAAACAAATGACAACAACTATCAGCAATTAATTGTAAAAATATGACTCACCATGCAAATATTTCTCCGCATTGTCCACACCAATCCAATACTTTTTCAAGTTAAGGGCAATTTGATTGCAAGAAGTATATCATGCAATTTGACTGCGGGTGGCTTTTTCTATGATGTATTCAAATCCATCTGAATTCCCAATGCTGTTGCATGGAGCAACAATAAAGGGATATCCAAAGACGCCACCTGCAGCCAGTCATAGAAAAAGCTTTCACGCTGTCCACTCAATTCAAGCCTTAATCAAAAAAAGGAGGGAAGAATCTGTTACTTGCAGATAACAGGTCATCTTTAATGCCTCATAGTTCTCAATTAAAGATATGAAAACTCAACTATGGAAGACTCGAATAGTCAATGCATCACGGCATCAACACTTAGGGGCTGTGTGGCAACAAGATTTATGCAGGATTTATGCAAAATCCTGCCAAACGGTTTCACAGCGGAACAAATCCTTTGTTCCCTTCTTTTTGCCATAAAACCCGGATTTACTCAATCCTGTAGTTCGGAGGATTTATAAAATTTCACCAAAGAAACGCACGAAAGGGAGAAAATTAACTTCACAGCGAGTGAACTACCGTCATTGCTTCTAATCAAAATGTTGTAACGCCCAATCCTCAGGAAGGGAAATTCGTCGATGGAGCGAAGTCGAACGGAAACAAAGGAGCCGAAGAAGCAACTCGTGCAATCTCTAAACCTCCCCAAGAGCCACTAGTTTATATATAACATAGGAAACAATGCCATTATAATTAGACCATTGGTTTTTCTTGATCAAAGAGAATGTTCCCATACAAATAATATGCAAAGTCTTGTGACTTTTTGAGGCAAAAGATGCAGCACAAATTAGTCCTTAAATAAATAATGGGGTGCAATGTTCCAACTCGTTGAAGATCAGCTTAACCTTACCCAAACTGTCCAACCCAATCTGTCAACAATAAAGATTCAGAAAAAGTTGGGTACACAGTTATAAGATCCACAAGCTACTGCAAAGGAAAGAAACTTGACTTGTTACAATAGCAGATTTAATTCCCGCGCAAACATGGGAAGAATTAGTATAAAAAAAATAAAATCAAAGGAAAAAAAAAAGTTTTGTAAGGGCTTTAACTAAAAATGTAGAAAGATGCGAGAAAATAAACAAGAAATGACAAGAGATTTTACCCATTTAATTTGTCCGAAATAATAATATGGAATGCATGGAGATAAGTTTTGCAATTATTTTAATGACCAGCTCCATAAAGCAAGGACAAAAGAAATGAAGAATAAAAAATTAGGAATCCACTTTCAATGACACAAAAGTACTTGTAGCTCATAAAGTAAATTGCTGCTATTCATAAACTAAATTGGTACTTTAACTTTACAAGGATGCTGATACATAAACTAAATTGGTACTTTTAACTTTTAACTTGAGGGATACTTTTCTATCACACAACAGCCCTAATGCATTCCTCCACTTTAGCAATCCAATTTGAATTCTACAAATAATATCCCCATATATTTAATCATCTCTTTGAACGATTATCCTGAGATATCTAATATGTGCACTTTTTTTAAGGACTTGATCACTCAAAGTCACAATCCCACAACAAGATGTATTACTACTTAAATTACACACAATGTATTTGGTTTTAGATCTAGTCAAATGAAAACATTTACACTCTAAGGTTCACCTCCATAATTCAAGTTTTTCAACTCCCTCTCCAATCATATCAACAAGTAAAAAATCATCAACCAAAAGCCTACCAAGGTACATCCTTTGCAAAATGTCTAAAAAAACATCCATGACAAAAGAAAAAAGATACGGGCTTAAAGCTGATATTTGATGTAATCCAACTAAACTAGGAAAAACTTGATCAAACCACCTTTTATTTGAACACAAGTAATAGCACATGTATATATACCCTTAATGACTTCAATATAAGCATTATAAACACCTTTCTTTTCTAGAACTCTCCAGGTCATTTCTCTTGAAAATTTATCATATGATTTCTCTAAATCAATAAATAACATATTTAGATTCTCCTTACTCTCTAGGCTTCTCCATAAAAAATCTAATATCTATGTAACAAAAAAAAAAACTCAACAAGTTAATAGGGTTACTGCACCATGCTTTATGAAAGAGAGAGAGAGAGAGAGTGAGCACAATATGACTGCTAGATTCCAACAAAAAAATAAATAAATTAGCAGTTTTCTAAAGGTCCTCTCACCTCAAGCATAAATAGGCATAACATTGGTTGCCAGAGAATTTTCAGGCCATCCTTGATGTTCGCCATTACAAAATGAGTAGGGCCGCAAGCGAACCAAACGTTCGGTGAGCTACTCGTTGTTCGATTCAATTAAAGCTCGTCTGTGATCGTTTAATTAACTAAACAAACAAACTTGAACAATATTTTAAATATTCGATTCTTAAATAAACAAACTTGAACACTAATGTGTTCGGCTCATTTATGTTCGCGAACAACATCATTTGAAGCTCGTGAACAAGCTCGACATTGAGCTCAATAAGAAGCACGATAAAAGCTCGATTCATGTTCGATTTTGAACTCGTGAATAAGCTCGATAAAAATAAATAATATTTGATTTAGAACGCTTCTCCTTTCCATTCTTTCAGACAAATACAGGTATCAAATATTACTTAACTTGATGTCTAAGTAATTGTAGCTTTATATGACTATTTATTTATGAATCATTGCCTTTGTTAATGCTGCTGTTAGGAAAATTCTGTGAAGATGGGATTTTCTTATAAATCATTGCCTTTGTTACATAGACAATTGCTTTTATTATAAATGTGTTTGTTCATATATATGTTCATGAACGTGTTTCTTTTATAGTTTAAAAAAATTCGTTAAATATGTTCGCGAACATGCTCGATGTAATCGTTTGTTAGGAAGCTCGATAAAGCTCATTTGTTAAGTTAGTGAACATATGAAAGTAAAGCTTGTTTATAACTCGTTCATGTTTGTCTGTTTAAAGCTCGATAAGCACTAAACGAACTGAACATGAACCGAACATGAACACTCATTAATTTAAATGAACCAAACATCTCGAACAAACATGAACCAAACTTGAACAAGCTGAAATTAAATGAACACAAACATGAACACTCACATACTCGGCTCGGCTCGGTTTGTTTGCAGCCCTAAAAATGAGTATAAGAAACCTGATTTCCAAAGATCAGTCACTTGTTGGCGATCACCCGCAGAATTCTTCCAAGAGAATCAAAATTATTACAATACTGAGGAAAACAAAAGACATCCATAACTATCAACCATTAATTGTAAAAATATGTCTCAGCATCTGTATATTTCTCCTCATTGTCCATACAAATCCAAAAAAATTTCAAGTTAAGAGAAATTTGATTGCAAGTAGAATATCATACATATATGCATTTAAATATCCAAATACGCATGCTATATTTGAATGTATGTGCATGTGTGTGTAGAGAGAATGTTACCATAAAAATAATATGCAAACTCTGGTGACTTCTTGATGCAAAAGATGCAGCACAAATTAGTCCTTTAATAAATAATGGGGTGCAATGTTCCAACTCGTAGACGATCAGCTCAACCTTACCCATACTATCAAACACAAGCTGTCAATTATAAAGATTCAGAAAAAAGTTGGGTACACAGTTATAAGTTCCACAAGATACAGCAAAGTATTAAAAAGATTAGTAAGCCAAAAAATTTCTTCATCTCCTAAGCATTTCAACACCTCTATTAGATTATCAACAAGTTAAACAACTTTGTGGGCTCCGAAAATTCGGCGCCGGCCTCCCCGCCGCGCTTTTCTTTTTATTCGGCGAGGGAGTTTTAACTGATAGGTTCCGAGGTAAATTTTGGAAGGCAGATGGGTTTGTAGATAAGACACTACCCAGAGATTTCGCTCTCATTTTGTGAGGACTTTATGATCTGAGTTCTGGTTTCCTATAGGCTCAAGCCCCTATAGTTAATTACCCATCTCAATCATGAGAGAGAACTTTCGATTAAGGCTAGTCGTCAATCAGATACGTATAGAATACGTATTATCTGACATATAGTAGCAGCACTGGGTTAGGAATTTTGGAAATTTGAAGATTTGGATGTTTGGAAATTTGAAAAGATTTTTTATTTAAAAATAGAAATTTCACCATCTAGCACTTAAAGCGGATGGTGGGGGAATGGATGATGGACCCGATCAAGTAGTATCTAATCTATTATATAAATCACTAAAAGCTAAGATCTTTGCATCGCATATTACTTTCTTAGATTCCTTACGAGCCTTTTTATATCGTTCCCAATTATCAGAATTTTTAGAATTAAACAAATTTTTAGAACAAATCTTTTTATTTTTAATCTTTTCTTGCACATTTGGATTCCACCACCAACTATTTTTCTTATTAGGAGCTTTACCCTTTGATACTCCAAGCACATCTTTTGCAATATTCTGAATATCACTAGCAACTTTTTTTCCACATAACAATAGCTTCCTCTTGCATAGACAAAATCTTAAGATCTAACATCTTACTCTCAAAAATATTTTGTTAATATTCTTTAAATGCCCCCATCTAATCCTACAATATCGTTTTACTTTATTTTTTTTATTTTCTAAAACTTTATCTTAAAGTCCAAAACTAATAATTGATGTTGGGTACATAAATTTTCACTCGGAATAACTTTACAATATTTGAAATATAAACGATCTAATTTTCTTATAAGAAAATAGTCAATCTGATTTGTACTATATCCATTTTTATAAGTGATGAGATGTTCATTCCTTTCCTTAAATAAGGTATTAGCAATTAAAAAATCATAAGCTAAACAAAAATCTACCATGATCTTGCAACCTTCATTTATCGTTCCAAACTCATGGCCATCATGAATGCTTTTAAAATCATCTACCTCTCTACCAACATATCCATTTAAATCTCATCCAATAAAAACTCTTTCCCATAAACATCATGTAAAACAAAATATTAGGACTGCTCTTAAGAGGACATTGTTTGCTATTAGACAGACTAAAAATTATAAACAGCTGCATTTTTCGGAATCTTGACAATGGAAATTTTTTACAGCTGCAATAAAGATGACTGAGAATATAACGAAACCAGAAAAACAATTAAAAAAAAACCCCGAACAAGAACATCTTTAAATGAAGAGTCTCAGACAAACCCATTTACAGGAATAATGTGGCAGCGGGTAAAAGTTCAAGCATAAAGCCGCAGATAAACAACCTCAAATGGCACTCCAAATCTGCTCAAAATATCTAAGAAGGCAGCATTCTTACTAGAAAAATAAAGCAGAGAACACAGGCACTAATGAGAGAACAAATATTCCAAAACTAGCAAGCAACTCAAGAGCTTGTATGTATATCTTAAGAGTTGAGAGAGAGAGAGAGAGAGAGAGAGAGAGAGAGAGATTCCTCATTTTGTGGGCAACAAATCCTTCATATAACAGAATGCATTTTAAAACATACATTGCCAAAGATGATGAGGGGGTGTGAAATTAAAATTTTGGTGATAAAATTCCTCAAAAATAACCATCAAAATAGAGAGATCTGAGAGTATCAACCTTCATCACATAAGCTTCCGAAAGCAAACAAGACTAGGTTAAAGTTGAAGGACCTAAGATAATTATCAGAAAATAGAAAAAATGAGAAAGAAACCCCCAAACTCATATCATTACAAATGTAGCAAAAGAAGCACTACTGTAGCATTTCATTGTTAATATCTAAGCTTTCATAATCTTCCCCACAATTTTTTTTTATAAAATAAATAATCATAACACTATTACCCATTACGAGTATTGCAATAATCTTCATAACTGCTAAATGATATGGCCTTCGTAATTATATTTAATGGAGAAGATGAAGCCACTGATAGTATTTCTATCTAAAAATCATATGTATCTCTCTCTTCAATGAATTTATATCCCTTTTCACAGCAAGATACACTGATTCCACCAACATGCATTAAAATTAGATTGTAGAAAGGGCCCTTGAATTTTTACGGAAGGAGAGTAAGCATCAATTAGGTAAACAATATTCCTTTTCCGCTAATTCCTCCAAAACAAACTCTTGAGGGCTAAGTCTTGCCTTGCAACTCTGCGTCAAAATCTCTTTTCATCAATCCGTTCACAATGGAAAGTCATTCCTCCCTCTCTCTTTCAATATTTTACCCCATTACTCTCTCTTTCTCTCTACAGCTGAAGCATTGCATGGTCAGGGTAGAAGGTGGATTGAAGACATGAAATGAAAAAAGTCTGTAATAAATCAAATGAAAACTGACAAGGGTTTGTACCATAATGGATGCTTAAGAAGGGAAGTGGAGAGAGGAGTTGAATATACACAGTATGGATTTGCTTGGGTGTACTGTCATGAGTGCGCGGCTGCAGCCTTTCATTGTCCATTAATTTGTTGAGAAGATGTCTACCCTCCTAAGTATTTTTTTTTTAATTTGGGCGGGGCTCACGGAGAGGCTAGGACGTAAATTTTGGGAGCCACAGAGACCATCAATGCTTAATGGTGATCCTGAAGTGGATGAGTAGCTCTACACTTAGAGATAGAATGTAAAACGAGCATATACAAGGTTAGAGTAACTCTAATGGGAGATAATATTAGAGAAAGTTGCCTTAGATGGTTTGGTCACATAAGACGCTGATCTTCTGATGTCTTTGTTGAGAGAAGAGTATAAGTATAAGATCCCGCCTATGCTAAAAGAGAAAGAGAAAGTGAGGGAGCGTGTTATTATCAAAAAATTCATTAGGCATCTTCTATAATTGCATTAAACATAGAACTTCAGAACTATCACAAACTACCCCCCACCGATAAGAATTGCATTTATAGAATACCTTCATATAAATTATAAAGAAAACAAGAGGATCAATAGTTCCTTCATACCAACAAAAACAAGAATCACAATTAGGTCATGTGAAAGACACTATATCACTTAATTCCACTATAAATTTCAAATATATAATAATTTGCCTTCTCTATACCTCTTTCACTCCCACCACTAAATGCTGTCTTTTTTTTCCCTTATGCAGCTCCAATAAAATATAAGAGAAGAGAGAGGATATGCATTAACTTCAACCAAGTAGCAAATTTATAAGCAGACCTAAAAGTACATGATCCATGACGTTTTAACTTTTCTATTTCTCACTGTTTTAACTGCTCTTTTCTCCCAAGGCTGTTCTGCTTTAAAGCCAGCGTAGGCTAAGAAATACCCTTTCTAAAGGGGTCATTAGCGAATATATAAAATAGGAAACAACCCCCAATTAATTAGACCCTTGTTTTTTCTCGATAAAAGATAATGCCATAAAGCCATAAAAAAAATATGCGAACTTTAGAGATTTCTGGAGGAAAAGGATGCAGCGCAAATCAGTCCTCTAACAAAGACTGGCAAACAATGTTCAAACTCGTACAAGATCATTGTTAGAGTGGCAAACAATGTTCAAACTCGTACAAGATCAGCCCGCAAACTATCCAATCCAAGCTGTCAAAACAAAAGATTCAGAAAAATTGGGTACACAGTTATGAGATCCACAAGCTACTTCAAAGGAAAAAGGCAGACATGAGAAGATTTTGATACAAAACAATAAAAATCAAATTTAAAAAAAAAAGATTTGTAAGACCTTTAAATGAAAATATAGAAGTGAGAAAATATACTAGAAATGGAAAGACGTTTTACTTTTTGAATTTTTTAGAAATTATAATAGGGTATCGGAACATTATCAGAGAATAATGATAATAATTCCAATTGATTCTAATGAGAAACTTTACAAAGCAAGGACAAAAGATATGAGATTTAGAAATCAGAAACAAAAGTACTCGCAGTTCTTAAACCACATTGTCGCTATTCATAAACTAAATTGGTACATTTAACTTTACAAATATGCTTTGTCTGTAAACAACTATTTGTTTTGCAAGAAATGTTCAAGATCTAAACACTATTTTTGCTCATTTGACAGCACTTAAGTTGCTCTAGATCGACTCATTTACACCCCTAGTGGCGAGGCAGGCAAGCATTAACTATGGCTCATGAGACCACCATCATCATAAGCAGCATCACCATAGTCATCACCTCTGCGAATGAAGTTTTCATTCGGGCCACTCCAGAGAGACAAGTCAAATTGTTCCACATCAATCAGATAAGGATGTTCTTGATATCATCAAGCTCATCACTATATTGACAAATAGTTTTCATCAATCATTCAAATATATTCGTTGAAAATAAATATTTAGCAGCAACGGTTTCCTTTTGAAAACATTTGTTAAGCCTCGCAAATAAATAAAAAGAGAAATTGGCATGCATAGATATATAAAGAGAGTAGCATTATCTTCCAAATCAAAACATAATTTCCTTGAATACAACATAAACATGGCACCAACCTTTTCGTAAATAAAAACTGAGGTAGCTGAAAATACAATAAAATCCAAAATAAGTCCTTAATTACATAACCAGCTAATGTTGGATACACCAATAATTGACATGCAACAAAATTTGTGTGCCCGTTTTACTTCTATAAAAGTGAAATAAGCTTCAAGATAAGAACTCTAATCGTATTGCTTACCACCTCATTAAAAAGAGCAAGTAGAGCCCACATTCAGAAAATAGAAAAACCTAGCCTTGGAGGAACAAAAGAGATAATCAAACACTTGACAGCAATAATTGCAAAAGTACATGCTTTCCAACATATACATGCGTATATTAATAAAAGAGAAAGAATCCTAGAGAATAAAAATCATCACAGCCTCGATAATGAGCATAGCCAATAATGTGATTGCAAGCATATTGCAAACAAATGCCCCCAGATCCTACTGTTGCAAAGAATCTGAGAAAAGGTTAGAACATGCAGCTAAACAACTAAATAGAAGTAGGTTCTTATAGTAGCAGCAACATTGGTAAAAGAAGCAGTACAGTAGGAAGTTTTTGATAGCACTACTAGCGCGTTGCTAGAGGCGTTCCATGCCATTCCTTGATGCCTCGTTGCTACAGTAGAGGAAGAATTGACCATGGCCAAATTATCAGCAATAATTTTCACAGCCTCTCCAAAAGAAATCCATCATCTAATAGCCAGAGAAACATGGCAAACCTAAGTAGCAAGAATTGATAATGGATATATTGTAACAGTAACAGTAACAGAAATTGGAGAGGATTTTATTAGTGAATAGCTTATTAGGGAGCTAGGCAGAACTGAATGAGCTATGTTTCTCGACACTTTAGCAAGAATAAGAAGTAGAAGAAGAAGAAACAAAAACAAAAGGCTTAGATGACAATGAATCCAAGACAAAAGACAAGTAGAGAAGCTTTTCTACACTTTAATTCCCATCCAAATGGAAGATGTACTTGCCATAGAAGCTGGAGGCCATCCAGACATGCCATATCATAAAAAACATAGGGACATTTTATTCCCTCTCATGTGCAGTCGATCCCTAATTCAAAATCATCACCATTGTTGCCCTCACAAATTACTCATAAAAGAGATAATAACAGCAAACTACGACCCGACAAGTCTTCCATCTGTAAGAGAAAAATATAATCCCATGTCCGAGCAGCAAGAATTTTACATTCATATGGACAGATCGTGACAAAATTTTCTAACATAAAAAATAAAATGAAGACAGAGGCTATTTAATTTCAAAGGAAATGCATAAGGAAAGGAAGTGCACATCGATTGCAAGTAAGATATGCTGAGCATATATATATATATCATCTTAAATTACCATAGCAACTGCATCCTGCTTCAGGAGTGACGGATTGAGAGAACAATATGACTATTGAATTCCCACACAAATAAATAAATAAATAAATAATCAGCTTTCTAAAAGCCCTCCAACCTCAAGCATAAATAGGGATAATCATAACATCGGTTGCCAGAAAATTTTCAAGCCATCCTTGATGTTCCCCATTGCAAAAAGAGTAGAAGGAAACTTGAATTGCAGAAGATCAGTCACTTGTTGGCAATCACCAGCACAGTTCTACCAACAGATATCTCGATGATAACATTATTGAGGAAAATACAAGTAACAAGTAAGATCCATGACTAAAGAAAAAAGATATGGGCTTAATGCTGATCCTTGATGTAATCCAATTGAAATAGAAATACTTATAAACACTATTAACTCTTTTCTTTTCGAGAACTCTCCAGATCACTAAAAGTTTATCATATGCTAACTCTAAATAAATAAATATCATATGCAGATCCTCTTTACACTCTCTATACTCCTCCATCAAACCTATCAACAAATATTTAAGTTCAATAGAAGACTTAGCCAGCACGAATCCAAACTAATTTTGAGAAGCATTAATATCACATTTGTTGGATCCAAAAATTCGGCTCCATCCTCCCCTCTGTTTTCTTCGATCGAAGAGCTTTTAATGGATTAAGTTCCGGGATAAATTTTGGGAAGACAAATGAGTTTGTAGATAAGACACTACCCAGAGATTTTGCCTCATTTCGCAAGGACTTTATGATCTGAGTTTTGGTTTCCTATAGGCACAAGCACCTATAATTAATTACTCCACCCGATAACAAGAGGGAACTTTCGATTAAGGCTAGTCGTCAATCATATACATAAAGAATATGTGTTATCTGGTATATAGTAAAAGCACGGCTTGGATATGGGAATTTTGAAAGTTACTGGCATACGTAGAGGAAAGCATACTTGAGCATCATCACCACTACCACTAAGACATTCCCATAGTAGAGGAGTTACTTATTCATGGGGATCGATCTTCAAATCCCCTGTTATATATAACTGTCAAAAAAAATCATTTTTCATGAATAGCTCCTATTCGACCATCGATATGTCATACCATAGGAAACGTAAAGATACTCCACAAAAGAACTGCACAACCCATCTAAATTCTAAATCATTATCATCATTACCATCCTCCGCAAAATTTTTTTTACTCCTAAAATAAATAATCAGAACACTATTACCCGTTATAAGTAGGGCACTAATCTTCATATCTGTCAAATGATCTGACCTTCATAATTATATTTCATGAAGAAGATAACATTACTGATAGTATTTCTACATAAAAATCATAAGTATCTTTCTCTTCAATAAATTTTTTTCCCTTTTCACAGCAAGGGCCACTTATTCCAAAAAAACGCATTAAAATTAGATTGCACACAAGGCCCTTGAATTTTTAGGAGGGGAGTAAGTCTCAATTAGGTAAACAATATTTCTTTTTGCTAATTCCTCCAAAACAAACTTAACCAAAAGAATAATGAACCAAAAAGGAAAGAGGAAGGCTCAGATGATGACAATGAATCCATAACATAAAAATATTAGAGAAGCTTTGCTATACTTGACTTCCCATTGTAATGTCAACTGAGGTTGCCTGAGAAACTCCAGGCAATCCAGAAAGTCATACCATAGGAAACAAGCCAACATTCAGGCTAAATTCTACACCATCATCATCATCGCCCTCCAAATTTTTTACTCAAAGAAGAAAATCACAGCACACAAGTAATATTTGTCGTACCAATCTTCGCAACTTCCAAATATTTAGCCCTTCTTACTTTTATTGCATGATGAAAATGACGCAACCAATAGGAGTTCCATCAAAGATTAATGCCTGATCAAGGTAATTCTCGGTGTAAGACATTCCCATAGTAAAGGAGTTGCCTTCAAGCGGATCTTTAGATCCCTTGTCATGTAGAGCTGTCAAACAATTTTGTTATTCATGAATAGCTCATATTCGACCATCCATATATGTTATACCATAGAAAGCATAAAGATACACAACAAAAGCACTGCACAACCCAGCAAAACTCTAAACAATTATCATCATCATAATCTTCCACGTTTTTTTTTTTTAACTCCTAAAAAATTATCACAGCACTATTACCCGTTATGAGTATCGCACTAATCATCATAACTGTCAACAAATGATAACGCCTTCATAAATGTATTTCCTGGAGAAGATGAAGCTAAATATAGTATTTCTATCAGCATATCATATTTATATTTCTCCTTAATGATTTTTTTTTCCTTACAACAGCAAGAGACAGATTCCAACAACACGCGCTAGAATTAGATTGGAAAAAGGGCCCTTTAATTTTTTACGGTAATAAGGAAAGTAAGCGTCAATTAGGAAAACAATGTCTTTAGTGCTAATTCCTCCAAAAAAAACTCAACCAAAAGGATTATGAACACAAAAGAAAAAACAAGAAGAAGAAGAAAGAAGAAAGAAGAAGGCTCAAATGATGACAATGAATCCATGATATAGGAAAAAAAGAGAAGCTTTACTATGCTGCCTTATTTTTCCCCCTACGCAACTCCATTCAATATTAGAGAAAGAGAGAGCATATGCATTCAATACGACTGAGTAGCTGACTTCATAGGCAGATCTATTAGTCCAAGATCCATGATGTATTAACTTCTCCATCTCTCACTGTTTTCACTGATCTGGTCTCCCAAGGCAATCCCTCTTTTAAGGTCACCATAGGCTAAAAAGATACCCTTTCTAAAAGGAACTGAATCCACATAACACATTAAACAATCACCAATACATAGAAAGTGAAACTGACATGCTTAGATAAATAAAGAGCAATAAAATTATCTTCCACATCAAAACCTAATTGCCTTGAAGACAACATAAAGATAGCACCCCCGCAACCCTGTCACTGTCAACAAATGCAATAAGCACCTTGTGAGGGGGAGCATGTCACTTTCAACAAAAGCATTAGGCATCTTTTGACATGGCATTAAACATAGAAAACTTCAGAACTATCACAAACTACATCTCCTTCAAAAGAAGTGCATTTATAGAATACATTCATAAGAATTATAAAAAAAAACAAGAGGATCAACAGATCCTTGTTACCAACAAAAACAAGAATCACAATCAAGTTGTTGTTGGTATACCACTAATCTTGATAACGCCATATGATTCGGGCATTTTAATTGTATTTCAAGGCAGAGATAGGAAACTGAATGGTTTTCCATCTGTAAAATGAAAAAACAATCCTCCATCCGTGCAATTTAAATTTCCCATTCATATGTACAGATTGTGAAAAAATCTTCCAACATGCAAAAGAAATGGAACGGAAACAGAGACTCTTAAATTTGTAAGGTAATGCATAAGGGAAGGTAGTGCACTTACGTTGCAATAAAGATATGTTGAGCATTTATATAAAAACGTCTGTCTATATATATTCAGCTATCTAAAGGCCCTCCATACCGAAGCATAAGTAGGGATAATCATAACATCGGTTGCTTGGGAATTTTCAAGCCAACCTTTATGTTTGCCATTGCAATTGGAAACTTGGGTCGCAGAAGATCAGTCACTTTTTTGGCAATCACAAGCTCAGTTCTACCAACAGATATCTAGATGATTAAAATAATGAGAAAATACAAGCAACAAGTAAGTTTTGACCTTTGAAAATGACTATATATATATATATATTACAGATACGACACGATACAGATACGAGACACGTCAATTCTTAAAAATATAGGATACGGGTACGGCGAGGATACGACATTAAAATTTATAAATCATACATAAAAATTAAGAAAGCAACCAAAGCATAATGTTTGAAATTTAAAAATAAAAATGAAAGCAACATCATTTGTAGCCATGTAGCTTATAATATCAAAATAAAAATAAGCATTAAATGTCTAATACAACAACAAATGCATAAACATAAATTGTCTAGCACATGAAGTTTCAACTATTCAATAGACGGAATGATATGATTAGCTTCTTCAGTGGGTAGTTTAAAAACATCATAGCTTCTAATTCAAGCTCATGAAGTGAAAAATTAGCAATTTCTAATATTCCCATATCATCAAGAGACTTTGGATAAGAGAACCTCACTCGCAGTCGCAGAAGTAAATACGACACGTCTTTTTTTCGTTTTGTTTTTTTGTCTTTCGACGGACACGTGTGTCGAATACGCGGGTCCTTTTGAAATTAAATAGTACATTAATTGGATACGGCAAAGCCATATCCGACTCGTATCAGGGGCGTATCGGAGGAGTATCCATGTATCGGATACAACACGCCTTCATAAATAGGTGTATCGGAGCAACGTAGATATATATAGTCGAACTAAATGTCTCAAAAAGACGAACCCAAAGACACCAAATTTGATCCAATCCGAGCTCAAATGGGTCCAAATCAAAGACCAAAGGCCATTTGGAGGTTTAAACAAGAAATTGAATGACCAAACGATTCCCAAATGTGTCAAAATCGACCGGCTCAACGACAAGAATCCAACAAGCCCAAGATCGCCAAATTTTGAAATCACTAAGATACTAAAATACTCGATAAACAATGCATGATCAAGGGAGTCGATATCAGCAGTCCATTGAAAACACTCCCAACATGCCCTTGATCTTGCAAGAGACCTTGATCTTCCAATAGAAATCTACATGATAACATCGCTGAGTAAAACAAAACACAACTTTAAAAATCAGCCATCAATCATAAAAATATTTCTCCTCTTGTCCGCATATTTTTTTCAAGGGCTATTTGATTGCAAGTATATATATATATATATATATATAGACACACACACACAGAGAGAGAGAGAGAGGATTCAGATCCTCTTGAATTACCAAGTTTGTTGCATGGTGATTCAATAAGGAGATATCCAAAGAAAACACTGCAATCCATCTTAGAAAAAGAGAAAAAAGCTTTCATGCTGTCTTCACAGCTCAACCTAATATAAACAATGGAAGCATCTGTTGCTTGTGGATATTAGATCATCTTTGATGCCTCATCATTCTTAATTAAAGATATGAGAACTCAACCATGAAACATTCAAATAGGCAATGCATCACCGCAGCAACACTCAACAAAATAGACAAGCCAAAAAAAAAGAACTTGGTGCAACAACCCAACAAGTCATGTTTGATGCTTCTTTCACAACAATCTCATCTATTGATCCACTATAAATATCCATCTGCAACTACTCAGAACGGTAATTTCAATGGAACTTCAAAGAGAATAATGCATCCTACCCTGCACATTATGAAACATCAAGAACACAAAAGAACTGACTAAATTCCAAAAGTAAACAAGAATAATGGGAGACAAAGAATAAAGATAGGGTCAGATTACAGCAGAATCCATTAAATAAGGCAAGTAGAAAGCTGTATGCTGATAGCTACGTATAATTCCACATTATAATGCCAGCTGCTGCTGCCTCATAAGCTGCATGACATCCAAAGATTCCAGATCAGAAATATAGCAAACATATCGATATTCATGCGTGGATAGTGGTTAATCCCTAGGGCTGTTTGGATAAAGGCTTTAACAGCATTTATGCTGATTTTGAGCAGGATTTTTGCCAAATCCTGCAAACAACCGCTAAATCTCCCGGAGGAATAAATCCTCCGTCTCCCTCATTGGACCGTAAATCCGGGATTTAATAAATCCTGAAATTTCGCCGAAGTAGCGGACGAAAGGTATAAAGGTAGTTTCCTTTACAGAGAGCGAGCTCCCAGTAGTTCCTTCCAATTAAAATATCGAGACTTTCGATCCGACAGGAAGGGAACGTCGTCATCGAGCGAAGTCAAACAGCAACGAACGAGCCGAAGAAGCGAATAGTGCAAAAACCCTGCTTCACGCGAAGCAACGAAGCCGAACAGCAACGACGAAATAGAGAGAAGATGCGCAAACTGTGGATTCGACAGGAGGGAACGTCGTGTAAGGAGGCAAAGAAGTCATTTAGCGACTCGTTCAAAACTCTAACTTTCAGGCGAAGCCGTCGATGTCGAACAGCCACGACCACCGAACAGTTTGAGAAGAGGTAAAGAAAACCCTAGCAAACCTACGTCTATAGGAAGACTGTGCAGAGACAGTGCAAATAGACAACCAATCGCAGAGAAGTATAACACATCAATAGATTATGGATATGGATATATATATAATGCTCTAAGCTCAAGCCCTAATTAAAAAAAAATTGGGGAAGCATCTGTTACAAGAAGATATCAGGTCATCTTTAATACCTCATCATTCTCAATTAAAGATATGACAACTCAACCAAGGAAGATTCGAATGGTAAATGCATCACGGCATCAACACTTAGGGGCTGTTTGGATGCGTGATTTAGGCCATAGCTAAATCCAGCCAAACGGCCAAAAAAGCAAAACGAAAAATTCCCTCTTTTGAGGTTGGTAAAATTAGCTTGTACTCCATCAGATATGGGATTTCAACTATCCAGGTTAACAAGGAACATTAAAAAAAAAAAAAACATTTTCAGGTAAACCAAATTGCTAATGGAAGTACTTACCAACGCTCCACTGGACAAATATAGACCTACATTGGTATTGTTCCAGTCCTACTCCAATTTCAATCCAGATATGATCAATACCCTTTCCAACCGCTATCAATGCCCAAAGCTTGCTCCTAGTGGCTCTCCTCACCCAACCATGGCGCCACCCATTCATGATATATAGCGCTTGAAAGTTTCTGCCATGCTTTAGAGCTTCGTCCAATGGATGTGTGGCCTCACTTCAAAATTGGAAACACTTTTGTGGTATCTTAGTTGGAAGCCTAAGCTCTCAACCAATAGGCCAAGGAGAGTTGTGTATTGAAGGTAGATAAAATGTAACAGTACTAAACTAGGCCACATCAGAACTTTTCATTACAATTAAAAGGGGGTAGAGAAAGCTACTCATATTTCTATCTAAAAATCATATGTTTCTCTTCAATGATTTTTTTCCCTTTTCGCAGCAAGAGACTGATTTCACCAACTCGCATTAAAATTAGATTGGAGACAGGGCCCTTGAATTTTTACAGCAGGAATGTGAATAAGGCTTTGTTTGGAACAGCTTTTTTACCAAGTTTAAATTAGGCAAACAATATATCTTTTTCGCTAATTCTACCAAAACAAACTCAACCAAAAGAATCATGAACCAAAAAGAAAAGAAGGCCCAGATGATGACAATGAATCCATGACATAGAACCATTAGAGAAGCTTCGCTATGCTTGACTTTCTACTGTAATGTCAACTGCGGTTGCCCGAGACTGAGACAACAGATAAAGATTTTCATATAAAAAATCAAAAATCTTAAACCCCACCAATGCAATTATGCAATTTCATTTTTTTCTTTTCATGGCAAGAGATTGTGAGATGCATCAGCAACAACAATATCAAGCCTTTGTGCCACTACATAGAGACGGCTACATGATTTTTTTTTTGTCATTTTGTCATGTTAAAAGTTAAATTCTCCTTTAAACCTAATAAAGAAAGATCATTTCTAATATTTTCTAAACAAGCCTTTTTAGATCTACCTCTACCTTTCTTAATATAAGTCAAATTTAATACCTCAACTTTCCTAACCGGTCATCATTGGAAGGCCTCCATCTAATGGAACCAAACCAATTAATTGTGAGATGCATCAGCATACCTCAAAATTAGAATCGAGACAACCATTTGTAATTTTAAAAGAATTAACAAAAAAATTCTGCATAATATAGTTTGCAAACAAGAAACTGACCACTTTTTTCATGACATATACAGATAGATGGAGAGAGAGATAGAGAGAGAGAGAGAGAGGCGTATGTTATTATCAAAAAATGCATTAGGTATTTTCTAATACTGCACGAAATATAGAACTTGAGAACTTTTTCAAACTATTTCCCTCTGCTACGAATTAAATTTATAGAATACCATCAAAGAAATTGAAACGAAAACATTAGGATCCAACAACAATTCCTAGTTACCAGCAAAAACATAAATCCTTATTCTCAAATATAAAACTCTCCGGCGAATTTCTTTTAAAACTTTAGCATATGCCTTCTGAAAATCAATAAATGTCTTTTCTTTTAAAACTTTAGCATATGCCTTCTGAAAATCAATAAATGTCTTTTTTAAATCAATAAATATAATATGTAGATTCTCGGTAATCTCTCTATACTTCTCCATCAAACCTCTCAAATATATATATATATATATATAATGAAAAAAAAAAAGGCTCAACAAGTTATCATGGCTATTGCACCATGCTTCATGGAAAGAAAGAGATAGAGGGCAATATAACTAATAAATTCCAACATAAAATAAATAAATAAATAAACTGCTTTCGAAAGGTCGTCTCCAATCTTTACTACAAATAGCACTTCAGGTAAGCAGTTATGAGAGGGGCTCTCAAAATTGGCTGAATTGCGGCCAAACAACACCACTACATTACAGTCATGGCCAGAGCTCATATGTTCCCTAATGACTTCAAATCCTTGAGAAATAAATCAACGTGATATAATCGATAGGGCACAAAGCTCCCTGTTAGGTAAGATGCATCCAAATTTATCCCCTTGGGCAAATATTTCAACAGGGCTACAAGATACCCTTGGATGAGGCAACTCATGGCTACCGACAAGGATCCTTCTATCAAGTTGGGTCGACTACCTCCGTCGACTAAGCAGATAGAAACCATTATGACCCGGGCGACAAAACCATGGGATCTTCATTGGGTCCATCATCACTTCCCCACCATCCGCTTTAAATG